TATATATACATGGTGATCCTGGTTATATATATATTATTTATATATGTATATATATAGATAGTTATTACTATATATATGTATACATATACATATATATATATGTATATCTATATATACTATGTATTTATATACACACACAGATATATATATATATATATATTTATATATCTATATATCTATACATTTATATGTATATATGTATGTGTGTTGTTCTATTTGTTTGTATTCAATTATTAATTTCTTCATACAAATATATATGTAGATACACACACATATATATATATACATATATATGTATATATATATATATATATATATATAATTCAGTGCCCGCTTTCATGGTTGCAAGCGACTCCTTTCTGTTAGATGAATATGGAATGCAGGTATGTATACGTTTGTCTTGTAGGCTATGGGTTTGAATCCAGTATTAGCAATTATGCTATATATACAATAAAAATTGTCATGTATTGCTAGGATTGATTGTTGCCAAAGGCTTTTATGCTGTTCGCCAGCGTTTGCTACGATGCATCTGCGAATGTTCACCCATCTCATGAAAATATTACAAAAATCTCTTAACACTTTATACAGAGTATGCGGAATGTGTGAATCAAAGAGGTACGCTGGAAGCACAGCTGATGGAGAATGAGATCGTCAAACAGGTGCGTAGCTCGCATGTATTGTAGATCGATGTCTGATCCCAATGCTCATACCGAGTGGCGAGTATCACCTTACTACCGGTGTTCCATGTAGAGTAAATACCCAGTATACAGGATCCACCAACAGTCATTCTCATGTCCGCGCAGGAATTGGACTTTGTCAAAGATGAAGACAATGACAAGGTGTTCAAGCTCGTTGGCCCTGTGCTAGTGTCACAAGAACTGGCCGAAGCCAAAGACACCGTGGCCAAGCGAATAGACTACATCAAGAAAGAAGTGTATGTAAACGTAATCGTTGTTGTGCACCTCATATTGTGTGTAGTTTGAAGCCAAGGACACCCTTGCCAAGCGAATAGACTACATTAAGAAAGAAGTGGAAGTAGACGTAATCGTTGTCGTGCACTTCATATTGTGTGTAGTTTGTGACGGGCGGTCGTGCGTAGGGCTATATACGTGCGACAGATGTAGCATCCGTCGATATAGTCCAAAGGTTTTAGTCGGATACAGGCCACCGCAACCCGTTCATTTTTGTTCTCCGCTTGGCTGCTAGATTCATTGGTCATCACAACCCATCGCAGTCACTACGGATTGGAGAGGGAAACCGTTATGAGCCCCGACGTTCGATTGACGAGTTCAGTTCATTTTTTGTGACATACATCTGCTCCTGCAACTTCCATTTGTTTGTCTATTGCGTTTATGCAGTGAGAGGCAAACCAAGCTAGGCCAGGATCTGGAGGTACAACTGAATGAAAAGAGGGATAAGGTAGGTAGTCTTCAAATGCCAATGTGACAGGCACCGGCAAAGTATATACGCTTATTGTGTTGCCGTATTTTGACTATGGCTTCTTTTATGTCAATTCCAAGGTTGCTTGCCTTTTAAAGCTTGCTAAACTAATCACCGCAACGTCGACTTTGTTTTTGTTTTTTGTACAACTAGATCCAGCAAATGCAAGCCCAGGCCACCAAGACTGCCAGTGCCCCGGCGAAAGCTTAGTGCTCAGTGTATTGCGTCGTATTAACGAGATGCAGATATAATATCACTTATTGAACTTCGTCTGAGCAAAGAGCATGTGCTTTCGAAACATGAACGAAAAGTATCTCCAAATTTCAGCAAGCTGGTGCGCTGCAAGATTGCATATCAGTTAACGGAGTGTGCCCATCACCAGAAGGGTCGTTAGCCATTGCTGAGTGAACAATTGTTGGTCATCTGGGTAGCTGCGCCTGGCCTAAGGTAGATTCATCCTAAAACGAGAGTCTAGATCTACAACCAGTTTTCAAGTCATCAAATAATATAATGCTACTAATAGAAGCGCGAGATTGGTACGGCTGACGCTGTTTCGTCGTTTACTCCTCTACGGTCCTTTGGAGAAGTAGTTAATGGATACCTGATACCCAATATGTACTCTTTTTTTCTTCTTAAAATATATTAGAAAAAATATCGATTTTGCGATGCAGCTGTATGTAAATGTATAACCAAATTTTAAGCCAATCATTTACAAAGTTGCAATTCAATTTCGAGTTTCCGACTTGGGGTTTTTTACGCGAATCTTACAGGGGAGTGGGGACAGTCCGGGTCTCCGACAAGAGTCTAAAATAAATATTCAAAATTAAAAGGAGGTCAATGTGCACTCATCTACCTTTACACACTCAACATTCTTGACGAAATGTGTAAAATATGAGAGAGGGAATAAGAGATGCAGATCATAGGATTAACCTTTTAAAAAAACAATTTTGTATATTAACTCGCATCAATCTACGATTTTAGCATTTCATTTTCATTTTCGCTTTTATTAAATGACAGTTCAATTTCTAATTTGGTCCATTTTTTTACATGCAACATTCGCTCTGGCAGCGCCCAGTCCTACCCTCACACCTACGGATGTCGCAGATACCGCATTATACTATAACCAACTCATCAACGCTCTTTTAGCTCTCCAGAGTTCGGAGGTGAGTGGTGGCAGTAACCCATCATCAGCCTTTTCGACATTTGTGTCTGTGTCGACAGCAGCTTCAGTAACCGAACCTAGTACGGGGACATATATCCCTATACAAACGAATACACCTGCAACAGCGGAAAAGGCTTTGATTATTGCTACATCGGCAATATCAGAAATCACAGCGCCTGTTGCTACAAATGTGGCTGTAACAATTGGTGATGATGAATCTGCGATGGACCTGATTGCTCTTAGTGGTAGCTGCGCATTGTGTCTAAACGGAGCATGGTGGAACGATATCTGCTATGACAACTTGGAAGATGCCGTGCACAAATCTTCTGCCGACGGTGTGATCACAGTAAGAGGTAAAATTAACGTTGATGAAGAGATTACAATTGACCGCGACACCAATATTGTTGGAGAGAACTGTAACGGCAGTCGACCAATAGTTACCCTGTGGCAAATATTCAGCAAAGAGCTGCATTCTTGATGGAGGGCAAAACCGAACCGGTGTTGTCTCTAAGGGGTATTGACTTTGTTAATGGTAAAGGTTTCAGCAGGCTAATTCGTTCGGAAGAAAAGGACGTGAAACAGGAAGAAGCGGATGACAGGACAAACAGTGCCAATCCCGCATACAGTCTAAACCTACATGATATATCGGCGACTAATTTCAATACAAAGGCTCGCGGGGGTGCAGTTATTTTCCTGCAGGTTGCTTAACATGTGGACATTACGAAATGTACATTTTCTAAAAACACTGTTGCAGATCCAGGAAAGGATTACTATGGTGGTGGTGGTGCAGTGAATTTTCATGAGTTGCTAAAGGATCACACCGTGCATTTAGAAGACAGCAGCTTCACAGACAACGACATGAGAGTTCGAGCACGGATTAGGAGCAGCCTTTACAATTGCAATTTGCAATGGTATTGTAGATATAATCTCTTCGCAATATATTGGGAATCGAGCAGCTGATGGTGGTGCAATTCACATTTCCAGAGTTGGTCTCGATAGTGTTGTCAGCATCATAGACAGCAAGTTTATCAAAAACATTGCGCTCGAACAGGGTTGGGGTAGTCGCGGGAGTGCTTTGCGCTTCAAGTACATTGCAGGGAAGGTTAATATTGACCTTTGTTCGACTCCAATGTCGCTTCTGAAGGTAGAGGTGTCAACGCGAACAATCGGATACAGAGTACGGGTCGCGTCGAGATTGCGGGCAAATTCGAGAATAATGCTCTAAACTAGGGGGTGTAGTATGGGACACTCATAATGGGCACTCAGGTGTGTTGACAATCAAAGTTGGTACACAATTTCTGAATTCAGAAAGCCCTGGACAGTACTCGCTTTACTTCAAAGGTATAGATGGTACAACAACTCAGAGCTGGTCAGAAACTGATCTGCAAAACCTCGCTTCCGACATAGTAGTCGGCAAAGGTGACCTTATTGAAACCGTCTAAGTCACCACGAAACAAGTGGCAAATATATAAGTCAATGCTAAATATATATGTTATCACTCTAGTCAGAGTGTACTGTCGGCAACTGCTGGCTTGCCTAGTCGTCAATGTGATGGTACAAATTGATGGTTAATTAATTTATAGTTCAGGACTAATAGTCGATGTGCTTTCTGCACATGATTCTTTTTTATTAATATTGGGTGCCTCAGGTCACCATACGAGAATCTAAAATAGGTTTTACAATTATTCCGAGTCGCATTCGAATACATCGTGCTTTATTTAGAAGGCTATGCATCGCGTAGCTTCCGCGGTGTTTGTTCTTTTAAACACAAATATATTTAACTTGCTTCTTTGTGATGTTTTTCTAACACGAATGGTTGTTTCGCTTCTTGATATCTCTCTCTTCGAATTCTAGTACTATAACAATATCCCGTTGCTGTCTCTGTGAGATTGATTGCTCAATTTTGCGCTCCCACAACTTTGATACCCAAATCGCCCTTATCAGAGAAAGAACCAGAACCGTCCACAATTGCAACATCACTTCCTGCAATATCGCTTGGCACTACCTTTCGGGATTTCAAGCACTCGACCACATCGCATTGATCCTTTTTACACTCTTTCTGTATGTTGTCAGCCAAACACTGCTCGTAATCACAACCATTCTCTTCACAGAGCCGTCTAAGCTCCTCGTTATCGTCACTAAACTCCAAATAGCCAGCTAGCCATCGAGAAATGAACACCAGGATCAACATAACAGGAATCTCAATCAACGGACCCACTACAGCCGCCAAAGCCTGTTCTGAGTTCGCACCGTATAGAGCGATGGCCAAAGCCAGCGCCAATTCGAAGTTATTGCCCGCCGCCGTGAAAGCGATGGCTGAAGTCTTACCGTAAGGCATATCCATCTTCCAGCACAGCAAGAACGACCCAACAAACATAATCAAGAAGTAAAGTATCAAAGGTACGGCGACCAGCAGTACGCTAGTTATTTCGTCTACCATCTGTGAGCCCGACATTGCGAATATAATAACGATGACAAACAGTAGAGAGCACAGTGCTAGCGGTCCAATAGTGTTTGCAAATTTTGTGTACTTAGTTTCCCCCAGGAACCTTTGCCCAATTATCCAGGTTCCAAATCCAAGTGCAAATGGAATACCGAGGTAAATTGCAACGCTCTCCAATACCAACAGGAATGACTCTCCTATTGGGAGATCCTCTCCATTATCGCTAGAGATATCCAGGGCCGGCAAAAAGATCTGAATGATCAACATTTCGTACACGGAATACAGCAGAATCTGCAATACACTATTTACCAAGACCAAAGTGACAGCCAGATCCATCTCTGCACCCGCCAGCTCGCACCAGATTAACACCATCGCGATACAACGGGCGATACCAATAAGAACAAGTCCTTGTAACAGCTCCGGATGGCTGTGTAGTACTGCCAAGCCCAGAAACGTCATCAACCATGGACCGATAATCCAATTCAAAGAGATCGACGTTCCCACAGCTTTAGGGTTTTTGAAAATCTGACCAACTCGCCCGTAATCGACTCGCATCAAAGGTGGATACATCATCACAATCAGACCAACGGCCAAGAATATGTTTGTATCTCCACCCACCGTTGCACCCGTTAAGAAGTCGGATACCCCAGGGATATAGGATAATCCTATTCCAAGCCCCACTGCCAGAGCAATCCAAAGGGTCAACAGACGATCAACCCATCCCAACTTGTCGAATTCAATAGCCATTGTTATTGAACTCTATTTTCCGTTCCGTATTTCACTTGAGTTTAATTATCCGACTTGTTTGTCAACAGTAAGTATTATGGATCAATATATCGAAACACCAGTTTATTTTATATACAAAATATACACGATGAATATTTTACACTTTTATTTTTTACACCGATACCCGAGTCCAGTCTCCAGACTCGGAGTCAGAAGTCAGAAGTCGGAAATCAGAATCAGAGGACCAGAAGTCCAAATCTAATTATATATATTTATATAAAATAAAATAAAATAAAATAAAATAAAATAAAATAAAATAAAATAAAATAAAACAAAACAAAATACTTTCCTGACTTGGCTGATAATACGGTCGGAATTGTCTATGATATGATGTCGGATATGTTTCTGATCCGGAATATTAGTGTCAGAGACCCGAGTTCCTATTCTAAGTTTTTGAAATTCCGATAAGTTTAATGTATATTCAAAACGTTGTCGGTATTACTGAACTATAAAATTTTTATAGAAAAACATGTGTCAATAATTAATAAATATACGGTGTGGCTATTGATCCAGCCTTGCCCTGGGGCTGGGCCCCTGGCCCCTGGGCCTCGGTGGCTGTCCTCGTTGTGTAGACTGCTGCGCAGCTGCAATATGACACTTTACTATGCCACATAGTACTTGACAGCCTTTTACTCAATTTCAAACTTGACATCGTATCGGCGAGTCGGCGACTTCTTCAGTCGCTATTTACTCGCTAGTTCGTCACTCTTCCCTTTCCCCTTATCCATCGACCACAGGCCTCCAGCACTGAGCAGTGAGTTTCCACTTTCCCCCGCAGTGGGCCCAGTCGGCACGAATATTATTATTTTAGTAAAATTATTTTAGTCGGCAGAATGCAATTCCGGACTCTTCTCGCAGACGGGAAAAAAAAAGGAAATTGCCAAAGCAGTGAGTAGAGAATTTATAGTTCTAGCTTCGCTGATTTGCGGTACTTGGATTTCGCCGTTCGCCGGTTCGTGAGAAAGGACGACAGTAAGCACTAGGACGGAGAGTAAGACAGATTGAAACGTACGAAGTAAATACATATGGAATACGGTTAACCGTTTAAAAGTCGTAACGGCAAAGCCAACAACTAGCCCGCCTTCAAAGCCTAATCGACAATTTTTTTTTTGAAATATTATAATTCAATAATCTTTTATATAAATTACTTTCAGGCGGTATACATATCTCGCTAGAGGGTAAAATATGGAGTATCTCTGTATACTCAACTACTCATTCACTCTACGCTAAAACTATTTCATCGACAGACGGGAATATTCATCATGAATCATCAATATTCATTAATCATTGGTTAATTTCAAAGTGACTTATTGTACAATTTATATATATATATTTTGAGCTTAGTTTCATGGCCAACCATGTTTCTCCTTTGCATATGACTCTAAGCGTATTAGCACAGTCGCTTGTACGGCGCGAGACCAAATACATCATGTATTAGTATGTTTTGAATGGTCAAGAAATCTTATCTATGCATTTTGAATGAGTCTAAAAATTTCAAAATTAATTGTTTTGAGATAAAGGGCCTCAAAAGGCTCTATCAGTACATTTGCCCCCTCAGGCCCTTAGGGCCCACATTGGGAACAGAGATCCCATGTCATAATTCATGAATGTAGTCAGTCAAATTACAGGGATATTCATGAGAATGTCAACTTTATCGCCTGCAACTTTCCGTTTCTCTCACGGATGTCTAGCGGAAGTGTTCTAAAAACAGATTTGGCAGATTTTCGCTCCGTGTGCTACAGGCCTACAGGTTTACGTAAAATCGGTGTTAAATCAAATGCATCTTTGTTAACTGTTTGTATGTGTTTTAAAAATATACAGAAATACTGAGACTCTGACACTCTATTTATTTACCTTTGGTCTTCTTTTTTTTGAACAAAAGAAAATAGTAGTAGAGCGACAGCCGTGTGAGTACAGAGTTGCAGACGGCCAGTCCCGAACTCCCAGTGTCACAGACTCCCAGTCTCTCTGGAGTCTGGGAGTCTGGGGCCTGGGTCTGGGGCTCTGGGCTCTGGAGTCCCAGACTCTCAGACTCCCAGTGTATCACAGACGCAGAAAAGTCTGATGTCTCATCAGAGTCTTAGACTCTCGGTCTCTCAGACCTGAGTCCTGACGGCTAACACAGTGAGTGCTGAGACTGCTGACACTTCATACTCTTGACAGTACTCAACAAGAGCCTACTGCCCTACTCGCTAGAGGTAAATCTGTATTAACTCTTTTTATTATTATTAACAAACTGGAGTCCAGTGAAGGCAGTGATCCAGTGATCCAGTCTCCAGCAACCAGTCTCCTCAATCAACCAGTCAACCACGTTGCGTAGACATTTTGTTTATAAATGGGCACACATTAAGCCTATAAATAATTAATTTAATCATTATATTTCGATATTATTTTGAGTTTGATTGGATAATGTAAGTATATGTGAACTTCGATAAATAGTTGTGAGTAGAGAGTATAGAGGCAATAGCTACTTCAATCAGATTTGCGTCGAATCTTGGCCAGTGGTATTGATGGGAGACTGGGTCACTGGGGACTGGGGACAGACTCTTACAGAGACAACTTCTATTGAATACGTAAACATGCTTTGAAATCGGAGCGTTAACGTAAAAGGTTTTGGGATTGGCTTCTAGTATACTACATACCTGAGAACAGGAAAAGGTTTCAAAACGAAGCGTTAACGTAAAACGTAGTACATTTCCAGCATATATGAAGCACGTATTGAACTATAGATCTTATTGAAGCCGTCGAAGGCACCATGAAACACAAGTTTAACCAATGATACTCTCTAGAGCGTAGAGTAGAATTCTTTGGGTCTAACTGCCATTCAATGAAAATAAGACTAGTAAATACGTACTATGTCACATGACTTTATTATGACGCAAAGGGTGACGGCACACAGACTTCTAATCGTAATACGTAAACAGGCGTTAACGTAAAAAATATTACGTTTATATACGTTATAGGGGTCTGGTTTTGTGACCGCTTATATTTGGCTTAACCCGCCAACTATATTCTACCAAAATATTTGTTGGGATGTTTTTAGTTGGACAGATTCTCTACTGTCGAAACATAGCAGCTATTAATTGGGCCATACAAGAGGTAGATCCAAAAGAAAGGTTTTTAGAACTGGCTCATTTGGCTCCCAGTATACTACCTTAAAACGGAAAAACCGTTTCAAACCAAAGCGTAAACGTAAGCATACTACGTTTTCAGCGTATATGAAGCGCGTATTGAAGTCTGAGACCAGAGAGACTCTAAGTCCGCTGCAGCTGGTCCGCTGACTGCACATCATAAAATAATCATGTTTATTGTAAAAAGCAAAACTCCTTTTTGCAGGGGCAAACTTGGACAGTGAACTCCATTACAAAATACTGTATTCTCCAAGACTCAAAAACTACTGCTTCTACTCTAGGGAGAGAGTATAGTATATCTACTCCAGTAGTTTGGTACTCAGGCTTACAGCTTTTTTTTTAAATAGGTCGTTTTGTTTTAAAAGTAAAAGGTTGTATTTAGTAATGCTCTTGAAATACAGTGTCGAGAATTCGAGATGAAATACTCACTTTCTACAGATGCAAAGAGAGCAGTCAAGAAATGTCTGTTCCCACCTGACCGAGGAACACATATTTTTCGATTTTAAATATGGCGAAAAATAGGCGTAATATTATTTTAAAATAATAGATATGCACTGAAAACGTTAAATATGAAATATGAAATACGATATGGAATTTGGATAAAATACGTAATACGCGAGTTGATTTCAGAAATATGGCAAAAATAATAATATAAATTGAAATATGCCAGACAAGAAATGTCTGTTCCCACTTCCCACAGTCTCACACTCAAAACTTAAGCTCAGGGGGTATGGAATATAAGTTTATCGTAGACGCATATTTATCCAATTTTATAACGTTATAAGGGCTCTAGTGTGATCGGGAGGGCCTACCAAAGCTCTTCTATAGGACTAGTTCATATGATGAAATAAGTACACATCTAAATGTTTATACCCGCAAGGTGCGCCTCTGAGCATATAAAGGACTGCATATGGAATAAAAGTTGGACTTAAATGTATACTTATTCGATATGTAAAAGTTTTAACGAAAACCGGTTTGCGTTAACTCAAAACTCAAGAGTCAAGAGTCAATGGAGAATTGGAGACTCTCAGTCTCTGATAATAGAGAAAGGCGGCCCTGGGCCTGGGCCCTTGGGCCCTTGGGCCCTTGGTCCCCCTGGCCCCTGCTGGGGGAGTGGTGAGTGGGGAGTCTAGGACTCTGGGAAAACCCCTGTTTGGAGTACATTTCTTAATTTTTAGAATAAATACATTTTATTTTTATATACCGTGTGAGTGAAGTGAGTGAAGTCAGTCTCACTGATTGCTCTCTCTAATGGTTGCTACGGGGCATTGGTCCAAAAGTCTAAGGCTCTGAGCTCTACTACACCACAGACCAAACCACTAATCGCAGGCACCTCGGCCGTCGTGGCCAAAGCGAGAGCAACAAAACACTCCAACTGCAACACAGCCACATTTTGAATTTTCAGTTTTGATTTCTGTGACCAGTACTTCACACTTCACATGACCCAGTCAAACCCTCATAAGACTCGAAAGTCGAGAGTCGAGAGTTGAGACTTGAGACTTGAGACTCGAGAGTCAGCCAATGACAGCATTTTACCGGCATTTTCAATTTTCTCCTCGAAAGAAAACAACAATATCTCGAGTTCAATTTTCAGGAGGCTATGCTTGTATTTCACAAAAATTATTATTACTTTTTCAACACAACGGATATAAATCTATGTACATATTCCTCTTAAATCAGCTTGTTGCCAGTAAAATAGCTAAATAAATATTTCATAGTCTTTTGCATGATCTAGGTTATATATACATATATATGCATATATATACAAATAATAAGAAAAATAATATAAACATATGTATATACATATATATACAC